ATCCCAGAGTTCTTCGCGCAAACACGGGTATCCGATTACTGGCAACTCATTTATTACATTACTGCTACATGAAGGAGTTAAGGAGTGAAGTTCGATGCATGGTTGGTGATAATTGTTTTTATTTGAAATCTGGCTGAGCGGAGGCGTATGAACAGCAGTCAACCCTTCTCAAAGAAAGGTGAGGTCTTTTATTTTACTTTATTCTACTTCGCGACTTGTTTTAGAGGTCGTCACAATTCATTAACTCAACTCAGTGAAGGTATCATTGTGATTGCATCCACGATCAAGCCCGCCGATGTCCCATTTGTTTTCGATATCTCTACTCTTCTGTAGTAGCTCTTTGCCGGCAAATGACAAAATAAATCTGAATCATTAGAGAGAGTTAACCATAGCGGGGACAAATAAAGAAGCTTAAAAAATGGCAAAGATCTGAAAGAGTTCATTTCTCATCAGTCACGTCATTGCCAGTCAATGTTTGTCTGTGCGTGATATGATTTTTGTTTTCAGTCCGCAATGGGTCCTTCGTGAAAAAATTACAAACTAGCTCGCTTTATAAAACGGCGTTTTGACGTGTATGTGCACTAAACAGGTTTCTCTTTTGAAATAGTTTCACTAGTGACGCAATTACAACAAGCGATTACAACGTATAAAAATTCGTGTTGAGGAAAGTAATCGAACGATAGGATATTCAGTGTTACCAAGCGTTAGCGAACGCGACTGGAAACTGCATTACTGACATAAGTTCAAAATCAGTTCAACTCCAACATCAAAACAAAAACTTCACGGCAAATTTCACTAATTTCTTACATGGAGCGAGGTAACTTCTGTATGGAGCGAAGTAACTCTTGTATGGAGCGAATTGACCTTGATTATAGAGCGAAGCGACTTTTGGTTGGGGCCGAATGACTGGGGGCGAAATGACCATGGGGCGAAGTGACCGTAATTCCAATAGTCGCTCTGGTTCATTTATACAAGACATTTGTTTGCTGAATACATCTCTGTTAACTGCTGTTAACGTTGTTGATATTCATCATTGAATTTTAACCGTATCACTAGTCTAATTCAAGGTTTTGGCTTGACTGAAAAGTGCACGGCCTTAAAATACGTTTCGAGTGAAACATTATGGCATAAGCACTATCTTTTATCGCGCTATGCAAATTATAGACGACTTTGACTTACCGAATATTATAACGTGCGTTATATATAATTACAATTTCAATTCGTTCCGAATGACTGAATTTTCGTTTGTCGTCAATAAAGCTTCTGCTATAATACTTGATAGACAATGACAAAGAATTAGAAAATCGGGAAAAGAGTAGAAAGAGACGAAGACGTCCCTTAGTTTATTCTTTTATTATTCATGAAACCTTCGTACTAGCTGTCTACACTGGTGCCACATCCAGTTTTGAACGTGTGTGGTATCACACTAATCTCTCATCACGAGGTGGTCTCGCCTAGGGTCACAAGAGATTTATGGCTATGTTGTTATGTAACATCAAAGTTTTAAAGCCCCATTATCCAGCATCGAATTCTTGTAGTGTTCCAGAGTCGGTGTACTGTAGTCTGCATATACAGTAGTCTGTCACGCATTTACACAATTTACACGGGATTTACACAATTCACTGACACCGTCCTGAACTCCCGTGCGCTGAGGGGAACTTTTACAGGAGCAAAGAAGGTCAGCTAGAGGTGAACTTTATAACTCCGCCGCGAACTGCTCAGGTAAAAGATTTTGACAAGGTACTTACCTGTGCGACTGAAAATCTCAGCTTACCTTAGGCCAGCCAACAAAAATGATTTAAACCAACGGCGTGAACTCCGCCTCTACGAGAAATCTTGCAAGATAACGCAGCAAGCGTACTGTGGGTATCATGATTTGCGAAAGATTCTGACGGATGTAGGTATCTTAGTCAGTATACAGTTCTGTACGATGAAAAATACCTTATTGCTACATCAGGTAACTTTCATGTAAGGTCAAAGGAAAATTTTGGGTGAACGATGGGTGGTAGGTAATGAGTCTTGTCTACGTTTTAAAGAGATCGAAGCAATAACTTGAAAGTCTGAATGAGCGTGCTCATTTGCTTATCATGGTTTAAATTTACACTGACCTGCAGCTGGCTTCATGGAGCTAAAGCTAACGTTGTGTCGATATACTATAAAGTTTTTTGGACGAAATAGTATAAATTTCTTTAAAAATTAAGCTGGGAACTGATTTCGCTAGACGTTTGCGTGACATCAGGGAAAATGATGAACTTTGACACAGGTACAGTTTTATATGGGTCAGTCGAGTACCACTAAACAGTGAGCTCAGAGAAGACGTTTTTTTTCTTTATTGAAAGTTTGTTTAGGTGTTTTTTTTTTTTGTTTTGACTATTGATGTACAACATTGGCTTGAATGAGAAAATTCAGAACTCTGTTCCATGGCGTTTACACAGTGCAGGAAATCTATAAGAGTTCAGAATGTTTCACAATCGCTGTATTAGTGGAGAGTGCTTAGACCTTGTGTTAGTCAGTTCTATATCTCGCATTTCATAGAACCTTTCTGAGCAACTTGATGAGAATTTTTCAGACCAAGCTGACAGGCAGAAAAATCGCGCGACACACGGGATTAAATTTAGCCGAGGAAATGTTGTAGCTACAATGGAAGTCAGTTAAGATGGTCCCTGAAATTTTTAACCCCTTCGCTTAATTAACCCTATTCCTTGACGTACAACCTTCATGATATATAGCAAGGCAACGCCCCGCGTTGCCATATGTTTCTTATCATTCTTTAAAGGTCTTGAAGACTTTCATTGTTGAAACACAAATCGGATTTAAGTCCTGCAACTCGAGTCACTATAAGAGTTGCGTCAGTGACTCCTCGCGTTAATACAAGACCTTAAAAATCTGTATGTTACGTGGGTTGAATCACACTCAACTTTCTACGTGACACGTGATTAGCATTTGAGCAAGTGAGTGACGCGTGATTAGCGCGTGATCAACACGTGAATGGAACGAAATCTCCTGTGTTCACCTGAGCCACTTTGTAAAAGCTTTTTAATGAACCATTTGTCCAACTGATCTAATCATATTCCATAGAGGCCTGTGTTTGATTCAACTTTAGGTACATTTAGGGGGAACCCCCCCCCCCTATGGGGGAGGGGTGGCTGTACATGTACCTTGAGATGACCTTGGCTAATAAAATTTGACCTATTTGGACTTAATTGTTTTTCAAACTTTAGTTCCAAGAGCATTTATTGTGCTATGTTGTGACTTGCTGTGTATCATACCTACAGAGTCGGTGTTCCTTTAAAGTTATGACCGCTGTGCAAGACTACTCCTGCTTGTTCCAGTCGACTGAAGAACAGCCGGAGCCAATCAGCGCCGAGGTGAAAGGCAACCTCCCAACCTGGCTGACCGGGACCATGATTAGGAATGGTCCTGGACGATTTGAGTGCGGCGACACTTCTTTCAACCACTGGTTCGATGGTCAGGGACTTTTGCATCGCTTTCACATAGAGAACGGTGAGGTGACCTACAACAACAAGTTTGTACGCAGCGAAAGTTATGCGGACACCAGAGAACGCAAGAATTCCATCCATCTGGAATTTGGTTCATTCATTGCTCCAGACCCGTGCCAGAATATCTTTTCCCGCTTCGTGTCGAAGTTTTTTAAAGACGAAGTACCTTTTGATAATGCGTTTGATACCGTGTTCACACTGAAAAACAAAATTTATGCAGCGGCTGATTCCAACATCATATTTGAGATCGATCCCAAGACGTTGGAGACTGTGAGGAAAGTCGACTACGCCAAGGAATTTCCAGGTAAAGAGATAGTTGACAATCTTTAGGTCTTGTAAGAGACACGGTTGGACCTGGGTCGAGGGGGTAGGTTCTAGTGTTGGCTCGGGTCGCCGTGTCATTGCTCTTGGGAGAGATACTACATTTATGGTGCGGTACCTCTGGGCTGGGTTGTTCGAAAGCCGGTTAGTGCTAACCCAGGATTAAAAGTTGACCGAAGTATTCATTTTTCTTGTTTAAAATTGTTTTTCACTGCTTATGTTTTGTGTTGTTTGAGATTCCTCAAACTCAAAACTAAACACGAGTGAAAGACAAACAATATAAACAGAGAACCTCACGGAAAAGTTAAAAAAACTGAAAACGGAATTATCTGTTGTCCTCGATTAGCTTAATCGGGCTTTGAGCAACCCGGCCCTGGAGTATAATTGGATACCGGAAAAATTGTAAGGATGACTTTAAAAAAATCTCCGGGCTAGCCTGCTATGGACCTGCATTCCATCCAGTAGAATAAGCAGCAGTCCTAGTAACATCTTGACAAACAATTTAAAGGAGCTCAGTCATGGTACTGTGAGTTATTTTGGCCACGTACAAAATTACCTTTAAATTGAAGAAAACATGAAAATAGTAGTTAGCTAAGATAAAAAAAAAACAAACACACTAAAGAGATGATAATAATTCACGAAGGAACGAAGACGGTTAAGGATGGAGAAGATTAACACGGATTACAAACGACGAACTTGAAAAATGTTGGCTAAAGATGAGCAAACTGTGACGCAGCTCCTTTAAGCTTGTTGAAAAAAAAAATGCTTTATTTCTCTCCTCTCTCCTCCACTCTAATTTATAAGCGAGAGGAAAACTTAGGTGAGTCTAAACTAGCTTCTTTGAGGGACCGTTACTGGGGAGTGGTCTTTGGGTGAAACCCTGTTGTGTGACCGTTTGAATGAACAGTGTACTTTCAGGTGATACAGTTTATTTTGCTTTACATTGATTGTTTCAACGGGTTTGAAAGTCTGGTGATGAAGCCCTATTGTGTGGAGAGTAATCTTTCTATATCTTTTTTAAATGTTTGTTCTTTTTATGTATATTATTAAATAAGTAATTTCGTTTTCGGTTATAATTTAGAAAGTTGTCTGTCCTATGAGACTACCTACGTTTGCTCACATGGCCATATTGGTGTCTTCAAACAATGAAAGTCTAGTCCTTTGAGAAAGGAGGTTTTTTCCTTATGTAAAAATATCCGTATTGTTCGGGGACGCCACGAAAACGTTTTAATCTTGTGGCTCATCTTTATGTTACAAATTTGTGCTCTTACTGCAAGTATTTTGCCTGTTCAATCCACCAGGTGACGCAAAGATCAAATTTACAACAGCTCATCCACAGTGCGCAGAAGATGGTTCAATGATCAACATCTCGGTCACGCATGCCCAAAACTCTACTTACGACGTCATAGAGATACCACCTTGTAATGGAGCCCAAGACGAGCATCCTTTAGAGGGGGGTAAATTACTTTACTCTATCCCACCTACGAGCGGAGTTGCGTACATTCACAGTTTCTGCATCACTGAGAATTATGTGGTCGTTCCCGAAACACCTCTGGTACTGAATCTCTGGGAGGCTTACACTCGCAAATTCAAGGACTCCAGTGTTGCCGAGTGGTTTCAATGGAAGCCAAAGCAACCCACCAGGTTTCACGTGGTGGACAGAAAACAAGGGGCATACGCCGGCATCTTCACAGCCGAGCCATTTTTCGTGTTCCATCAGGTCAATGCTTTCGAAAGAGACGGGAAGATTTATCTGGATGCGTCCTGTTTCCATGACCACACAATCATCGATCAAACCTACCTGCACAATATGCGAGCTCCCATACAGCCAGGCGAGAAAAAACTTGACGTCCCGGATATACGCAGATACGAGCTGCCTCTGGAAGACCTTGGCGATGTGAAGGCGGGTAGACCTCTTAAAAAAGGAGGACCTAACGGGCTGGATTACACTTTGTTGTATTCAGGAATGGAGTTCCCGCGAATCAACGAGGCAGATAACAATGGGAAGCCTTACAAGTTTGTGTATGGCGTCGGCGCTGACGAGGAAAAGTGGTTCAGTCATCTGGTGAAGCTGAACGTGGAGACGAAAGAGTTTGTGACATGGAAGGAGCCTGGAGGATTTGCTTCAGAGCCTGTGTTTGTCAAAGCGCCTGATGGGACGGAAGAAGATGATGGCGTGGTGCTGTCATGCGTGGTGAGTATCCCTGACCAGACCACTTATCTGTTGGTATTGGACGCGAAAGAGTTCAAGGAGCTGGGGCGAGGCGTGGTGAAAGGAATTACTCCGATGAGCTTCCATACGGGATTTTTCAATTAGGAAAAAGAACTGAGACTAATTAGCGAAGTTCGAACGGGAACGCTCTCTCGTTTTAATGACATGTTCGTGAACCTTGTTTTGGGCTTCAACTAACCTTGTTTTTGGCTTACCATAAACGTAAAGTTTATTCGCCAAGATTTCGCTGGTATCAACAGAAACAATATTAATGTTAAGTGCTCCAGCTATTCAAGGTTTTTTTTTTTTTTTTCTCAGATCCAGATCTTGGTGCTGGAGTGAAATAATCTTCATTTTGAGATTCAGTCGCATGGCAGTTCTGTTTGAGAGAGTTCTCAACATGCAACTTTAATATTTAAGAGAAAATCTTAAGGTCAAGAAATTATATCAACTCAGTACTGTGCTAGCTTTGTAAATTACTTTTGCCATTCGAATATTTTCACAGCACGATCAAAAAAAAAAAAGCCGCGGATTTCTACTGATCTGCACAAATATTTATTTCCAGAGATTCACACGAGATGTAGTTAGCATGTAGTGCAGACGTATTTTGGGCGCACGAGTGCACATTTTCGTATTCGGCCGCCATCTTGGATTTGGTAACTGTGGGGGGTTGGGGGGAGAAAAAAATTACCGGTCCAGCATCCAATTACAATCCAAGTTGGCGGCATCGAAAACCTGGTTATCGAACGTTCCGGTCCAAAATAACGCCTGCACTGCAGGCCAAATGTAGTTAAATCGTGTTTCTTTAAAATAAAAGGTGGGCGTGTTTTTGTACTGAATGTTTCTGTGGTGTCGTGCAAGTGTTTTAGAGTTCTTTTGAAATGTCATAGAATGACTAGGGTGAAAAGTGTTAAGCCAAATTATATACTTTCCTGCTTTTCAGATGCTTTTAAATCGCTTCAAAGTACATGAATTGCTGGCAAAAACTGGCATTTAAGTTATTCGCCACACACTTTGTTGTTGATGAATTTCGGACGAGAATTTTTTTTACTATTAACAAAAAAGGTAATTTTACTCAACATAAATGTGATTTATTTATCGAGTTCGCGTTTTGTGATCAAGAAGCGTGATCGCCATCGCATTAAGAAGTCGACTTATAGCAGCTTTAGGACGACATCAACACTTTCCGCGATTCTAACCCATTATATATAAGATCGCAGACTGATCAAAATTTAATTTATACCGAGATATATATATATATACTTTCAAGCTTATACAGGTGATGAGAAAAGAGAAACTCATCAGCCGAATTCATCAGCTAATTCTCGGTCAGAAAATTACTTACATTAATTGGTATAGTGCGAGCTCCACCTTAAAAGTTGATGTAGCGATACGACTCCAATACCGACCATAAACTTGGATTAAAGCAAAAGAATGAGTAAGCCACTAATCCTCGAAAAAAATGCTCTTAGTCTGCCTGTCTTTACTAATATACATTTTACTGAATTAATATTTTTCGATATCTATCAACTTTGATTTCTTGTGTCCACAGAATTATCCGTAAAGTTCGTTAATAAAAATCTTAACACCTCCAACGAGTCGAAGTAAGCATTACCAACATAAGCGATTATGTCGTTGTGGCGTTACGTCGCTAGTGTGATCTAGCCCTAAGTGTCCTTGCAAAATTTGTTTGTTAATTAATGCTTGGTAGAACAACATTAAAATACAAAGTCAGTCTTAAATTTGCTGTGTAATACCTCAATCCACTTATGCTTGGCCATAACACTTGAGTTTTCCTAATGTATGATATCCTTCTTCGTGTGAGTGATCCAAGTCTCCCAGTCTGATTTGTGACACAGGCAGAGCAGATTTGTCTGTCAACAGACCGCTGTCCTCTCTCCAAACTTTTCCACCACTGTTATAGCAATTACATTTTTGACCATTTGAACAGGAGTTTGTTAATCCGCATGCGCACATCTTGTCATGGCCTGAAGCTCCTCCCCAGTAACTCATATTCCTTCCGTCACGTGACACCCACCAAGCATCGCCTTCCACAATAAAAGCTATCGAATAATGGCATTCAAACTTGATAAACTGTTCACAGTTCTGTGAGACTCGAGTGAGTGCTGCTAGCTGAGCAGTGCTGACTCCAGTGTATCGGACATCTTTACTGTAACATCCTAGATTTCCTAGATTACATCCGGGAATGTTACCAACGTGAGTTCTACTCTCACTGTCGTGACTGATAACCGTCACACCAACTCCGCCCTTGTCACTCATGTCACAGTACACACTGAAGGGAGTCACGCCTCCTTTGCCATCAGGGTCAATCATATAATTACCCGAAGAACTTCCAGTGTGGTCCGATTTTACACTGCTGCAGGACATTGGTTCTTTAAGCACTTCCAGAACAGATGTTGCCTCGATAGAACGTTGAGAATTTTTTGCTACGCAGGTGTAAACCCCAGCATCACCTGAGGACACGCTTCGAAGAAGCAAAGTTCCGTTTGGATAAATGACGTCATTTTGTGGAAGATCTTGGCCTGATCGTTTCCAATCTATGTCTACCGAACCATCAGCCATACAATTTAACATAACATTGCTGTGAACAAAAGCAGCAACCTTCATTGGAGGAGTTAGGATAAATTTGAGTTCGTCAATCACTGTCACTTGAGCAACAGCGGACCCCGCACCAAGAAGATTCTTAACCGCGCATTCGTAAGTCCCACCGTCTGCTTTTACGATATTAACTATGTTCAAGTTACCAGCAACGACAGTAGTCTTCTCTTTTGGCAATTGACTAAACGCTTTACGCCAAGTGACCGTTGGAGTCGGCTGACCAGTAGCTTTACAGACCAGGCTCAGGTTCTGTCCTTCTTCAATGATGACAGATGATGGCTTCTGAGAGATCACGGCGCCAACTTGGTAATTAAGTAACAACAAAACAAAGTATGAGAAGAGATGTTAACTAAGAACTTAAACCATTACTAGCAGACAATTTACATAATATAAGGTTTTTAATTATTAAGGAAACTTTGTGTTCAGTAAGTGTTCAGTTCCATTGTGTTTCTATCAAGAGAGCCATTGCAGAAAATTATTCTATGGAAAATTCGCGATCGAGATATTCTGCGGAAGCTTACACCGACGATAGATTACCCCTTGAAATATTGAAATATAAAAAATAAAATGACTAAAAACAACACTATTCACCTTGAACAGTTAAAGTGACCGACGACGTCACTTCTCCCAGAATATTTCTTGCTACACAAGTGTACCTTCCCTCATCTTGTGACGTCACATCAGTTATCATCAGTCCACCACGTGACGGTACAACTCGTTTGTCCGCGAGAAGATTGGAATTTTGTTTCAGCCAAGTGACTTTAGGCTCTGGGTTTCCTTCAGCTTCACACTGAAATGAGGCTGTACCGGATTCGTTTACCACCATGGACATCGGAGATGCTACAATTGAAGGGGCTGAGATAGATTTGCCTGGATCGCCCTTAGGTCCCTGGGGGCCTTGAGGGCCAGGAGGTCCCTGAATTCCCTGGAGTCCTTGATTTCCTTTAGTTCCATGGGGTCCCGGAGGTCCGCGAGGTCCGTGTTTACCTGGAGAGCCTCTAGGACCTGGCCTGCCTCGTCTTCCCCTGATGCTTTTGGAGCAATAAACCGTGCAGGCCTGGGTACTCAGGGCAAGTCGTACCTCTCTTCTGATGACGTCACGATTGATGGTTTCACTAGCATTTGAATTTGTGTTTACAGTGTCCACAATACGTTTGTAACGAAGGAGTTGCTCTGCAACAAACAAAGTACGGAAAAGTTCTACTAGGTTAAAATCACAGTTAACCGATAAATCAGTTGGGCGATTAAAACATATAGGCATGTAAATTGATACTCGATTGAAATTTATGTCTCATTAGCGTTGGTTTCAAAGCAATTTTTTCGTGTGTGCAACAAAAAACGACGTCAAGTCATAACGGCCTTCACAACTAATCAAGTTTAATTTTTTTGAAAAAAGTAGTTTGAGGCTCGTACTTGTGGGGCGCTTGCAATAAAATCAAAACAACTAATGGTATAAACAAGCTCGGCTTCTAATTCTTAGTGACCTCAAACTGAATTATCTAAAAATGCCGTACCGTTTCTCCTATGTTTTGTGAAGTCCGTTTTGACGAGGTTCTGTGACTGTTATCAAAATTGTTTCAAATGGCATCCACCACTCATCTTCGATACGAAAATAAAATTCAATCACGTGAGCTGCCCTGCGAGCTCGCGTGATACCGTACGTATTTTGTTGATCAACCTGAAAGGAAGTCATAACATTCATTCATGCTGAAAGGCTAACAGCTTCTGTACCTATGCTAGTGACACAACATCGACACATAAGCATTTCTGGATACTTCTTAAAGAGGGTAAAAACAAAAATATTGCTTTGATTCTTCATATCGTACTGAGGTACGCAAATATTTCCTCAGTTATAAAGTTTGCAGTTATAGACGTGTTTAGAATAAGCTGCAATACTGGCTCAATACTGGCACTGATGTTCTCTAAAATAACACGATATCGATTGTCGGAGAGTCATGTTTCAACTTCCTTATTGTTCAACTACAGCTTTGCTCAGGTAAATAACATTAGTCGTGATCAGTTTTTATCAACTTTTGTCATGATTCCTTACCTTTCTCTGTGTCACTGTGTGACATTTCCACCACAGATTCTTTTTCTTCGTGTGCTGTGTTTCGTAGCTCGACCTTTTCCTCTCTTTGTTGATTCAAGACTTGAAGCATTTGTCGATGAACGTGAAGTTCCATCTCGACGTGAATCAATCCCGCGAAGCAAATAACAGACAGAAATATCAATGAAAACACCACCGTGTTGGAGACTGGGCGAGTTTTCGTTTTCTCCATAATACAATGCACCCTTCTCAGAGGCTTTAAAAACTCGCAAGCTGGAATAAAAAACTCTTTGATATAGTGAAAGCAACCAGTACGTTCGTGATCGAAGCCAGACAGAGACACAATGCGCGTGTGCATTGTGTTTTGACCTTTTTTCGGATCTTCTTCCGGTCTGTCTCAGCTTGTACTGGATGAGTTTCAAATCTTTAGCCCACGTACATTTTGAACTGTTCAGCTCAGTTAGAAGTGTCGATGATTGAAAAGAAAATGAAACTGATATACGCGTGAAACTCACTGCTGACTAACTTAATTCACTTGAGATTGATGGTATCAAATTGACTGAATTGAAGCGATTTTTTGTTATGATGGTCTGAATTTCAGCTTAATTCTCTGTTTGTTTTCTGTTCCCCACGCGTGACACGAAAGAAAGCGCTGGAATAAAAAATGGCCGCGCGCGAGGCCCCTCTGTACAGCTGTTTCAGTTCTTGCGACAGAATCTATTGACAAGGAACAAAGAGAGAACAGTGGCTTGTAATCTTATCTTTTCTTCNATAAAAATATTGCCTTGATTTTTCACACCGTACGTATGCAAGTTTTTCCTCAGTTATAAAGTTTGCAGTTTTAGACATGTTTAGAATAAGCTGCGATACTGGCTCAACACTGGCACTGATGTTCTCTAAAATAACACGATATCGATTGTTCGAGAGTCATGTTTCAACTTCCCTATTGTTCAGCTACAGCTTTCCTCAGGTAAATAACATTAGCCGTGATGAGTTTTTATCAACTGTTGTCAGATTCCCTACCTTTCTCTGTGTCACTGTGTGACATTTTCACCACAGATTCTTTTTCTTCGTGTGCTGTGTTTCGTAGCTCGACCTTTTCCTCTCTTTGTTGATTCAAGACTTGAAGCATTTGTCGATGAACGTGAAGTTCCATCTCGACGTGAATCAATCCCGCGAAGCAAATAACAGACAGAAATATCGATGAAAACACCACCGTGTTGGAGACTGGGCGAGTCTTTGTTTTCTCCATAATACAATGCACCCTTCTCACAGGCTTTAAAAACTCCCAAACTGGAATAACAAACTCTTTGATACAGAGAAAGCAACCAGTACGTTCGTGATCGAAGCCAGACAGAGACACAACGCATGTGTGCATTGTGTTTTGACCTTTTTTCCGATCTTTTTCCGGTCTCAGCTTGTATTGGCTAAGTTTCAAATCTTTAGCCCAGGTACATTTTGAATTGTTCAGCTCAGTTAGAAGTGTCGATGACTGAAAAGAAAATGAAACTGACATACGCGAGAAAGTCACTGCTGACTAATTTAATTCACTTGAAATTGATGGTATCAAATTGACCGAATTGAAGCGATTTTTTGTTATGATGGTCTAACTTTTTCAGCTTAATTCTCTGTTTGTTTGTTGTCCCCCATGCGTGACACGAAAGAAAGCGCTGTACAGCTGTTTCAGTTCTTGCGACAGAATCTACCGACAAGGAACAAAGAAAGAACAGTGGCTTGTAATCTTATCTCTTTTCTTTTTCTTTTTCTTTCTTTTTTTCCATCGGCTTTACTCCGTGGAGGGATCTATGTTGTGTATGTTAAATTGTTTCTTTTATCACAGTAATTTCTCCGTCATTTCATTGTCTGATTTTCAGATTCTCTCGGTATTAGCCTTTATCAAAACATTTAATTTATTGACGAGGGCAGTCTGTCATCATGTTGAAGGAAGCTAACTCGCGTTTTATTCTTTTTCTGACTATGAACAGTCGCGCACCTCATTTATTTGAGTCTTAGGCATTTCCATTTCTTTAGAAAACACAGTTTTGGTATGGCGCTACAGTACGAACGTGGACATCAATTTCTTGATTTCGAGTAGATATGTCAGCCTTATCAAGTTTACCTCCCTTGTACACCCGAGGGATTTTCAGTGGTATCAAACAAATACCTAATCAATTGGTTACCATAGCGACAGCACAATCTTTCAAAACCACCTTTGATTTTTGCTTGGTATACTGAACTCGGTAGCCCCTAGAAATAAGTTTTACTTTTGAATATAGATTTAAGTTTGTCAAATGACAACCATTCTGTAAAGTGCAACAAAAATCACAGGGGGAGGCTCACAGCCACTTTAAATCAGCAAACATTTAAGGAAGTACTGAAGCATTTTCCTGACATTAACAATCCCAGGAAAAGGGGGCGCTTATTAAAGGTAAAGACCATGTTAGGGCTAAATATATTGACATATACTTGTAAATTTTTGTTCCGGTTCTCAACCCTTTTCAGTCAATTTCCTTCAACTGATTGTGGGCAGCTTACTCTGTCATGCAAAGTTTGAATTATTGATCAAGTTATGTAATGTAAATATATATGCACTGCTGTCTACTAAAGAGCTTTTTTGGCTATTCATATCTTACTTAGGCACAATTTTTATCTGTACAGTTTATATACATTTTTTATATCAAGTTAAACATTTTTAGATATTTTATAGTAGTTATNTTTTCATCGGCTTTACTCTGTGGATGGATCTATATTGTTTATGTTAAATTGTTTCTTTAATCACTGTAATTTCTCCGTCATTTTATTTTCTCTGATTTACAGATTCTCTCGGTATATTATTCTTTATCAAAATATTTAATTTATTGACGAGGGCAGTCCGTAGTAATGTTGAAAAAAACTGACTCGATTTTTATTGTTCATCTGATTATAAACAGTCGCGCACCTCATTTATTTGAGTCTTACGCACTTCCATTTCATTAGAAAACACACTTTTGATATGGCGCTACACGGTACGAACGTGAACATCGATTTCTTGCTTTCGAGTATATATGTCAGCCTTTTCAAGTCTACCTCCGTTGCACACCCGAGGGGTTTTCAGTGGTATCAAGCAAATGCTTAATTAATTGGTTATCATAGCGACAGTATAATTCTGTCAAAACCACCTTTAATTTTTGCTTTGTATACTTCTCAATCCTAAATGAGCTCAGTGGCCCCTAGAAGCAAGTTTACTTTTGAATATAGATTTAAGTTTGTCAATGACAACCATTCTGTAAAGTGCAACAAAGATCGCAGGAGGAGGCTCATAGCCACTTTGAATCAGCAAACATTTAAGAAAGTACTGAAGCATTTCCCTGACATTAACAATCCCAGGAAAAGGGGACGCTTGTTAAAGGTAAAGACCATGTTAGGGCTAAATGTATTGACATATACTTGTAAATTTTTGTTCCGGTTTTCAACCCTTTTTCAGTCAATTTCCTTCAACTGATTATGGGCAGCTTATTCTGTCATGCAAAATTTGAATTATTGATCAAGTTATGTAATGTAAATACATATGCACTCCTGTCTACTAAAGAGCTTTTTTGGCTATTCATATCTTACTTAGGCACAATTTTTATCTGTACAGTTTATATACATTTTTTATATCAAGTTAAAAATTTTTAGATATTTTATAGTAGTTATATAATCTTAGTTTAGTTTAGATTATTATTTATTCCCATTACATTTTTACTTTGTTATTTTGTTTTCTTGGCGCACCTGTAAGCTAGCTGGTGCGTCCTGTAGACTCTGCTTATCAAGTCTATGGGACGCACCGTGACCATAGCTAAGTGTGTGACCAAGTAAAATAAAATATTTCCATGTCTATGTGTGTGAGAGATTTAGTCTGCTAAAATCCATGTAAAGTTGTTAATATTTAGTGGACAAGCAGCCATCTCTTGAAGATCTGAAACTAAGTTTTCTTGAAAGTTTCTTGACCTGAAGTAGCTCCACAAATTCTCTCTTCATTTCCGGATCCCTGAATGCGTAAATAAACGGATTGACAGCACTGTTCGAATAATGCATCCATTTCACGAAGTCTACCAAACGTTGAAGGCCGGGATATTGCGGCAAGCAACGAAAACAGTACACAGCGGTCATTAACAGAACGTAAAACGGCAGCCATGCAGCGAAGAAAAATCCCGACACCACGGTTAAAGTCATGGCTAGTTTGATCTCCTTTTTCAGATGGCTTTTTTCACTACAGCTCATCTTGTTTGCCTCAAAACCAGGGGTGTGACGGTTCAGCGATTTAGCAATGCGGAATATTCCGGCGTACATATAGCTGATGATCACCAACGGAGCAATGAAGCCGACGGTGGTAAAGCTTGGGGCGTACAGGCGTTGGAGTTTGAACATACTCTGCAACGGAGTCAACGAAGCGATCAACGCCGCAAACACCCAAGCCGACGCAGTTGTTCCTATGTAAAAATGTTCAGGAAGTCGCTGATATAAAAACGGTCGGGAAACGGACACATACCGTTCTACGCTAATGGCTGTTAAATGGAAGACAGAGGTCAGCGCGCTGAAAATGTCCAAGCTGATGAACAGCGCATAAAGTACTTCGCCTTTGCCTATCCCGAGCCCAGAGATGCAGATCCACAGCGGCAACGAGACGACGCCCACAATGCAGTCAGAGCAAGCCAAACTGATTAAGAACATGTTACTTCTTTTTCGTAATTTTCGATTGTGCTTAAAAGCGGCCATCACAATCGAGTTGCCGAGGACGATTGCAAAGGCGAGTAGGACGGAGAAGATTATAAAAACGAAAGTGTCAACCTCAGATCTGAGAACTTGCACGACAGGCGTTTCTGACTTGTTCAACGTTTGTTTTTCAATTACATTATCCATTGATAGGTTGTGATTTACCTTATGAGCCATGTTAAGCTCTCGCTCGCTTTCTCGTGATTTCTTGGCGACTAAAACAAATCAGTTTGAAACAAAGAGAAGGGTTCTAAATAAGCAAAAATATTGATAAATCAAACAGTGGGTTATTGACATCTTAAAATCCTTTTTCCGGCTTAAACACCTGCTTGCAATCTTGTTTTTATTTTCACCTTTTCTCTTTACTTAATTCCGTTAAAACACAATTTGTGACTTCTCGGCGTGTGTTGATATCATCAGCGCAAAAATGCTTTCTTGCAATTTAGGTTTGAAGATCTTTTCAAGGCAGCACTTTTTGCGATACCTTTCCGGCCAAACTCACTTTCTGGTCATGATGCGGTCGATATCTTTTTGCGTTCACCTGCAATATCTTGCAATTCAAGAACTCATTTCCCAGTTTTTAATCCCGCTGTCAAAAACATCGATATTTCAATAGCGTTTTGTTGATATAAGAACGTTGTAGTGATTGAAACTGGATTGAATGAATACACTTTAAGAGGACAGCTGACATTTTCTTGGGGAAAATATAAAACGAACCAAGAACGTGTCCAGTTACAATCAGAAGCAATGGGAGATTTTTTTCCGTTGATAAGCGAATTTCAATTTCCGACAGCTAAGAATAAAATATTTAGATGGGTTGATAAACCCTTTGAGCCAATGTTTCCAACTGAGAGAAATTTCTGGACAGAGCAAAATTATCACGAGAAAGAACTTTAGTTTTGAGGGGTGGTAAATGCATAGTAAATGCGAGACTTGGCGAGAAGGCGAGACTGGCGTTTTCCTTTGCGAGCCCGAGACATTTTGGCTTCTTGAATAGCGATACCGAGACTTCACTCACTGAAGTGTTTTAAAAGTGAACTGTAGACGTTTAGATTCTAAGACATGAAACCTCATTTATAAACACAAACAAACAAACGACTTCCTTAAGCCTTCCTTAGCCTTTCAAGAAATCGAGACTCCATGACTACTTTGTAAAAAAAAAAAAAAAACAGAGACGGCGAGACCTACATAACCGCTAAAACACGAGACCCGTGAAATTCGACGAACATTTAATTGTGAGGCCCAAGAAGGACCATTCGCCATCCTTTATGAATGAGTTGGCTAATCAATCAGTTTTAGTTAAACTGCGCTTCCAATTCTCAATAAGACGTGCCACAACTGGATATTGTTTCAGGGGTTGAACATAAATAAATTTTTAATATATAATATTTGTAACTGCAATAACAAAGTTGAGAAGGATACTGGAAACGTCACGAGTTGAAAAAATGCAATTACTTTATTCAAAGTGCGTGGGTAACATACGGTATATAAAGGATGGAATAAACAGTAACTCAAAAAGCAATTTGTTTCGAAGGATGAACAACAGCCCATGCTGAGTAGCAGGCAAGCAGCTAAGCAAATAGTAAATAATAAAATATATGTAGTTAAGACGTGGGCATAAAATTCAAACATTCCCCTATTTTTACTGATTTAGTCGTATCAATTTTTCTAAAAGATGCTTTTTTAAAACCGTTCAATTGCGCTTAAAATATTTACTAGAAAAACAATTTTCTTTCAGTTACATTAGAACGCCGGATGAAAATGTACAAGATTTTACTTTAGCGCTATTAGCAACATGTTCGCTCTCTGCAGCCTGTCTACCAGCTGGAAATGTTTCGTTCTGAATCAGTGGTAATGGCTACAAATGAGACCTGAAGCAAATGTGGGTGATGGTAATAGCCTCTTTTACATGTGCCACCAAATTTGCATCAAAATCTACTGTGGTTTTATTTTTCGATCAGCTTTGTCAGAATATGCAGTCGACATTCAAAATGGACAGTTCTATGCAAAAGATATAACTGGTATTGTCTGCTTATTAAAACCATGCGCTGACATGGACATTGATGACGTCACAAGTGGTTCAATGACTCCTTTCCAAACTGCTACAAAAGCCGACTTTGGCAACAAAAGAATTAAAATTCTAAGGCGCTTATACTTTTAACACCATCTAATCTGCATTTTGATTTCTTTCTTTATCTTGGATTATCGATGCATATTATTTTTCGTCAGCAGTTGCATTTCGTAACTCGTCAGTAGTCATAATTGCCCAATTCGAAGGAAAAATATTCAGGGCCGTAGGCAGGAAAAAATTATGACTGAAGCAATGCCTATGAAGAAATTATGATCCTAGGTATTGAGGGTGTTTAGGGTGACTAAAAACAACAAAATCGAAAAACATGCAATATAATGTGCCTCGATTTGCCTGCTGCTAACTACGGCCCTGATATTATTCCATTTTTTTCTAGGCGTCATCCTTGGCGTCACCGTCGTCCTTGCTTAAGCTCCCTAGATACACGCAGGACGGAAGGCACACACATCTCTAACGTGTNTAATGGCTACAAATGAGACCTGAAGCAAATGTGGGTGATGGTAATAGCCTCTTTTACATGTGCCACCAAAGTTGCATCAAAATCTACTGTGGTTTTATTTTTCGATCAGCTTTGTCAGAATATGCAGTCGATATTCAAAATGGACAGTTCTATGCAAATGATATAACTGGTATTGTCTGCTTATCAAAACCATGCGCTGACATGGACATTGATGGCGTCACAAGTGGTTTAATGACTCCTTTCCAAACTGCTACAAAAGCCGACTTTGGCAACAAAAGAATTAAAACCGTAAGGCGTTTATACTTTTAACACCATCTAATCTGCATTTTGATTTCTTCCTTTATCTTGGATCATCGATGCATATTGTTTTCCGTCAGCAGCTGCATTTCGTAACTCGTCAGTACTCATAATTGCCCAATTCGAAGGGAAAATATTCAGGGCCGTAGGCAGGAAAAAAATTATGACTGAAGCAATGCCTATGAAGAAATTATGATCCTAGGTATTGAGGGTGTTTAGGGTGACTAAAAACAACAAAATCGAAAAACATGCAATATAATGTGCCTCGATTTGCCTGCTGCTAACTACGGCCCTGATATTATTCCATTTTTTTCTAGGCGTCATCCTTGGCGTCACCGTCGTCCTTGCTTAAGCTCCCTAGATACACGCAGGACGGAAGGCACACACATCTCTAACGTGTCTTCGTTAAACGACTCGTCGTTCAGTCTTTTTATCGTCGGTGTCACGTGATAGTTTTTTAAACATGTTAAAAAATGTTAAATGTTGAGTGTTTATAGTGGTCGATGCTCTTAGCTAAAACTAGCTAGTTCTCAGGCATGCCACTTAAAGTGTCTATACGGCCAACAGGGTTTTTTGTGGTTTGGTATCTCTATAATGTGTAAAAAGGTATTCTAAGAAAAAAAAATTGGATTCCGACATTTTAACGCCCAAAGACATCTAGCTTTAAAGTTCCCGCTCCAGCCACGCCCAATGAAGTTGACCGTGAGCCAGTGGCAAAAAAGAGTCTGGTTTTCTGAATGGGTTGTGACGTCAAGTCAGGAATTGCAAAATCCTGCTAGCTCAGGTCACTGTTGTTTCAGTAGTGGTTAGGAATTTTCGTCGACAAAAAGCAAACAAAACGAAGTTGGTGGAACAATGCGGTTGTCAAGCAAGTAAAATAAAAACATGAGGCTTTGAGATGTTCCTGAAGTGACGTCATTCGTCACCAATCTTTCGTTACGCGGTCAACTTCATTGGGCGTGGTCGAAGCGGTAAATTTAAAGCTTGATTTCATGGCAAAAAAAGCACCGGAATTATTTTTTTTTTGGTTTGAATACAGTTTTAGATGTTATAGA